CAGGGGGCATGCTAGAGTGCAGGAAGTGTAGCTTTGGCCACAGGCAGGTGCCCTGGGACACTGGGATGGGTACTTGGGAGCTGGAGGGGGTCCTGGAGCTCCAAAAGGCCCTAAAGAGTCCCCATCAGCCCCAGGCTGAAGAATTAGAGTAACTCTCAGCCCTCCAATAGGGTGAGGCCCACGGGAGCCCAGGAAAGGCCAGAAGCAATGTAGTGGCCAAGCCCGCCCCCTGCTGGCCACATCTGGAGTGGCAGCGCCAGCCACACAGGGCAGGGCCCCCAGGCAATCACAAACACACCCCCCGCCCCTGGGATTTAGTTGGGCTCAGGTATCCAGAGGCAGGTGTGGGGTGGAGCAGGGCTCTTCCAGGACTGAGATGCCCAAGATTTCATCTCCCAGGTCCCCCTTCACTGGGTGGGGCATCTCCTGGCCCAACTCCTGGAGCCCAGCCATGCCACGAGGAGATAAAAGTCAGAAGTAGGGAGGAAGCAGGGCGGGGAGGGGTCTCCACAGTCCTGCCTCTGTCTCACTCCTCCCAGGCCCACTCGTGCCTCCTGGGCAGCCAGGAGAAACCAGGGCTGCTACCACTGCCTGAATTTCCACTCTCGCCCCCAGGTATTGATTTCCTGCATCATTCATTTGCCAAGCCTTGGCGGCTGTGATTAGCTCCCTCCGTTCTCCCTACGGAGCCCCCTGCACGCCCCTCCATGTTCCAGCAAAGCAGAGCTAATACCAGGCTATAAATGAGGCTTTGCCACACCAGCCCCAGCAGCTCACAGCCAGGTCTGGCCAATTAGAGGTGGGCTATTGGATATCCCCAGCCTGCCCCCTCAAGGGTACTTTCCTGGCTAATAAAATCCCCTCTAACCAACCTCCTCCAGTCACCTAGAGCCCCCACCCATCCATGAAGCACAGATTCCCAGCCTGCAGTGCAGAAAGGGATATCATAAGGATCTTGCACCTAGGGGCGCTCGTCAGCCTGGGGAGCCCTCAGGCTGGCTCAGGGGCCAACATCAACTTGGTGGAGGGGGCAGACAATGTTGGGGAAGCAAACAAAACAGCCTGGATTTGCAGACACAAAGCTCTCTCTCTCTCTCTCTCACGCAATTTCTATAACTGAAAAGGAAGAAGGGACAGAGGCATGGAACTTCTTGAGGACATTAGAAAACCCTGAGCCTTCTGTTAGCCCTGGGGAACCGGAGTTTTCATATGTGATGCCTTCCCCAGAGGAAGAGCCACATATGGGAGCCAGATTGAAGGCATGGGATAGAAACTCTAGTGAGAAATCCAAGTGCCCACACCCAGATCAGCACTCAGAAGACGGCGCACAGAGACTCACTTCCTGAAATTCCTTCTCCGCACTCCCCAGAGGAGGGAAGAAAACCTGACTTGGTGATAATTCTGTAAGCTATGTTGCTCTTGTCAAATTATTCAACATCTGTCTTCATGTTCCCACAAAAATTAGCATAGGATAGTAGTTTCTGATGACACCTTTGGTGAAATATTTTGACTTCCACCAGTAAGTTGCAAACAACCTGTCTTAAGGATAATGTCAATTCCCACTCCTGCATATTAAATAATCCTGGGGTTTGTTGTGTTTTTATAAGGGAAGGGAATCCCACCGACCTGTTCTGGCTGGAAGTCTGGCTGCTATGAGAGGAGGAGAGGGAGCCAGGACAGAAGAGGGGGTGTTCTGCGACGCTGTCCACACACGGGATGTTGCTCTTCTGTCACTTGGCTACTGCCTTTGCCCCAGAACTAGGCCTCTGGGGTCAGCCTAGTCCCCTGGTCTGTCAGAAAGCAGATTATAGGATCCACCCCAGAGGACAACAAACTGGTCCAGGAGATTGGGAGGCGAGGAAGGAGTGGGGACTGGCTCCAAATGGACCATCTGGTCCAACACTCGGCTGCTGTAGCATCTGCACACCAAAGAAGAGTGAAGCCACCTGGCCAGCCTGGGAGTGCCTCCCCAGCCTATTGCAGACAACAGACCTTAGAGCAGGCAGGTGGACATCAGCAGGAAGCAGGGCACAGGGCTCTGGGCATCTGCCTCCTCCCAGCACCAGCAGACACCCACAGCCCGGCCAAATGCTGACAGGTTTGCCCTTCACACCCTGATCTTCCTCCCTCTCCTCCTCCGCTCAGCCTCCATATCAACCTGCTCCTGCCTCAGCCACACAGGCCTGGGGGCAGAGAAGCGGGGGCTGGGGCTCCCTCCTTAGGGCACTGATTCTTCTCCTGTGCCTTGAGTAAAACCTACTGCCTCCCTCCCCACTGCTAGGGCAGCACTGGGCTTCCAGCCTCTTCTCTCTTCCAAGGCTGTCAGCCTAGGACTCCGTGACTCTCCCTAAGCAGAGACCCTCAAAGAGTGCCTCACTGCGCTGCTCAAAACCAAGTCAAGAAAGACTCCTTGGGGAGAAAAAACTGCAAGAATTATTTCAACCTCCCCCCAACCATGGTTGTTCATTCATTCAACAAATATTCACTGAACTCCTGCTCTGTGCCAGTCACCGTGCTGGGTGCTGGATACAATGATGGACCCTCCATACTGCTCCCACTCGTTCTCAAGCTGCTGTATCTGCTTCGGGGAGTAGAGAAATGGGGGGGTGGGAAGGCAGCAGAAGAACCAATCCCAGCTCCCCATCCTACTCCTTAAGCCAGTCCCAGTCCTACAAAGGTGCTGCCTTCTGCTGTATCCCGCCAAAGCTTCTAACACCCCAAGAACTTTGCAGCCTCTTGCCATCCTCCTCCTCGGATTAAATCTCCTCTCTCCATCCACCTCAATAAAGGCTTCTCCACCCTGAAATTCCCCAGAGGCTCCAACCTTCCCTGAAGCCAAGCTCTCAAAGGGAAGGTGAAAACAACGTCGCCCAAGAGCCAGGGGTCGGCCCCTGTGCATCCAGCCATCTTTGATTTGCTCTGAGTGTGAGCAGCTAGGATCTGGGCACATGAGGGAGGGGCGAAAATACACAGAAAGAAAGGGACAGGTAAGCCTATGCCTGAATCCTGACCCGAAGTGCTCGGAAATGAGGGTCCACAGAGACCACTGCCCCTGACCCCCAACCCCCACCCGCACTGCTGGGGTTTCTAGGCTAGGCCCAGAGAAGCCTCCTCAAGATAAGCTCCAGGCAGCCCTGGAGAAGGTTGGAGAAGCCAGAGGGGATGTTGGAGAGTAATGGCCAGGAGATGAGCTTGCCAGATCTGCCGAAGTATGCCCGGAGGGAGGAGGAGGATGGAGGACAGCAGCGCACGCAGAGGGTCTCCCTCACTCTCCCCAGCCCCTGGGGTGTGGTGAGGAGGCGAAGGCCTCAGCAGCATCCCTCTTAGGGCACCTTGAAGGAGGCAAGAGGGAGGAGGAGGATGGAGGACAGCAGCGCACGCAGAGGGTCTCCCTCACTCTCCCCAGCCCCCGGGGTGTGGTGAGGAGGCGAAGGCCTCAGCAGCATCCCTCTTAGGGCACCTTGAAGGAGGCAGTGGAGCTGTAGGAAAATGTTGGGGAGAAAGAGGAAAGAGAAGCCCTGAACCACTGGTGTCGTCCTCTGTCCTGGGGAGGTCGAGGCCTCCAGGACCTGCTCAGTGGCCTCCTCCCCACAACCCTGTCTCTCCCAGTTCCTGCTGCGTTCCTCCTCCTTTCCTGTCTTTCCTGGCCTATGTGAGGGCCAGGCAATAAGAGACACACAAACTAATTAAGAAGCAGAGTTTGGCCAGATGCCTGGGCTAACCTCACCAGGGAATTAAACCCAAGCCAGCTAGCTGTGTAGGGCCAGGAGCATGTCACCTTCCAGACACCCCTCAGAACAACCCTTCCTCTTTGCCAGGCACAGGCAGACAGACCAGGCACCCTCCAGAAGGAAGTATTTAGCATCAGCACCTGAGGCTGGCAGCTAGGGACAATGCCTCTGCTACCCTGCACAGGACAGGTCAAATTCTCCCCTTATCTAAAGGGGAATAATGAGGCCCTTGGCCCCAGAGAAAGAGGGAAAGAGAATCCTGCCCACCCCAGCTACACATTATTAAAACGTGACCAACACAAAGACCACCCTGCAGCCAGCAGAAGGCAAAGTAAGGGCCACTGGCCCCAGAGACTGACTTTCTGTGCTGTGGGGTCACAGCATTATGGGAGGGATGAGCCCAAGTGATCCCGAACGGATGATGCCTGCTCTCGGGGCTTTCCCTGGGAAATCCCATGGGATGGAAAGGAGCAGGGGGAACCAAAGTCGCCCTTGGCGCCTAGGGCGAGGAGTGAGACGTGGGAAGAAAGCTGCCGGGTAGGAGGCAGAGTTTGGACACGTAGCCGGATGGGTGAGTGCTGTGTTTGCGTTTCCTGGGGACGGTTGCTGAATGCGTCTGTGTGTGCGCACAGGGAGAAGGAAGGTGGGGCTGGGGTTTTGTAGCTGGGAACCAGGGACAGAAAGAACTGTCTCAGGAAAGGTCCGAAAGGGGATGCCGGGGTCGTAGGCGCTCCAGCCGGAGGATGCCGGCATCCGCTCAAGCTGTCAAGAAGCGAGAAGAAGCGAAGCCGCAGCCACAGCGGGGAAGGCGAGCCCGCCTCCTGGCCGCGGTGCTGGCAGCTGGTTCGCCTGCAAGCTGGGCGCAACTCCGGGTCGTGCATCGCTCGGCTTCCACTCCGGAGGCCAAGCCAGGGGAGGACGAGGTTTCGTTGCATGTCGCTGCCCCAGCCCTTGGCTTGAGGTCTGTCCGGGTCTCCAGAGCTGACTGGGTACTCTCAAGGGTTCCGAGACACTCCCACCCCTAGTAGGGTTTGGGAAAGTGGGTACCTCTCCCTGAATCCCCAGCTTCACGCCAGACCCTACGACCCGTCCCTGTGCTCCGAAGCGGCTAGCTCGGTCTCCTCGCACCCTGGGGAGGGCGGGGACGCCCGCATCCACTCCAGAGTTCGAGTCGAGGTCTCCACCAAACCCCTGCGGAGCGCACTTGGCGCCTCGTGCAAAGTTTCCGCGCGGGGCTAAGCCGGCGTGGAGCAGGACGCGGGCTCTTACCGTAGACTCCTTGTCCCCGGCAGTGGAAGGGGATCAGCGCCAGAAGTAGAAGGCAGGTCACCTCCATCTTCACGGCCGGTGCTTCATCCCCGCGAGGCGGCGCAGCCCGAGAAGCAGCGAGGGGCGCATCCGCCAGGGCCCCGCGACGCCCACTGTGTCCCCCCTTTCCCTAAGAGGAGACAGAGTGGGCGGCGACGGAGACCAGGAGACTGAGGCGGCGGCGGCGGCGACCCGGCTTTCTCCTCCGGCGGGGCCGCTGCCCGCGTGGGGACGCAGGGGGCGCTGGCCCGGTCCCGGGTGCCTAGGAGCGCCTGGCGCAGCAGCCAGCGCCCCGGCCTAAGGAGCCCGGCTGCCGAGCCGCCCCGGGTCCCCAGGGCTGTCTGCACTGGGTGCCGGGTGCCGGGAACCTCTCTGCGGCGGTGTTGGCGCTTGGATCCAACAGGCCACCGAAGACTGACAAACTTGTCGTTTCCTCGCCCAGGGAACGCCCCTCCACGGAGCGGGAGCTGGGAGGCCGGGTCTCCGCTCGGGTCAATCCTCTGTCTCTAGTCCTGCGGCGCCCTCCCGGCGGCGAACGAACCCGGCCCGGTGCTCTCGAGCTGGGAAGCAGCGTGCGCTGGGTTCCGCCGAGCGGCAAGCGCCGCGGATTCCCGGGTCCGCGAAGTTAGCCGAGCTGCAGAGGAGCCCAGGGGAGGAATCGCGCCCCGGCGCCCCTGGAGAGCACTTCCAGGGAAGAGGGGCTCCAGAAAGCGGGGAAAGGAGGAAAGTTTGAGTCGTTTAAAAAATATTCGCGCTCTCGCCGAGGCCGGGGCTGCCCAGCTCTCCCGGCCCAGCCTCTGTCCAATTTCCTCGCCTCCCCCAGGACCAATTAGAGAAAACAAAACAGGGCTGGGGGAAGCAGACTGCTTGCTTTCTTTTCTTTCTCTCTCACCCTCCCCCATCTCTCTCTCTCCCCGTTCCCCACCCCAACCCCCCGGCAGGAAAATGTCAGAAAGCAGAATGGATCCATCTATCCCGAGGACAGTGGCAGAGGAACGTGTGTTTCGGCCAAGGCTGTGCAGCCGCGCGCTCGCACACTCGCTCTTCGTCCTCCCTTGCACACTCACACTGGCTGCCCGAGCCGGGTGCACCGATCGCAGCACGCTCGCGGGGCAAGCACGACCGCTCGCTCCGGGAACCCAAGCCTGCAGGGCACTGCACACTTCATAAATGTTTTGTACTTTGGGGAGGTGGGACAAGTAGGGATCCGAGGGAGAGGCCGGGGCGCCCGTGGTTCCTAGGGTCCTGCAGGCGCGCCAGCCTGGCCGCCTGCTGTCGGTTTGCAGGGCTGTCAGCCAGGCTCGGGAGTCGCCCTGGCCCCCGGCCGAGTCCCCGCCCCTTTCCTGGCGGCCTCGGCCTCTCCCCGGGTCGGGCGCAGGGACGTCGCCAGAGCAGCTGTAGGAGCCGGGGACGGAGAGAGCGCGCTTAGAGCTCCTGCCCTCGTCGCTGCCCACAGGTTGCCAAAAGGTTCGCCCGCGGGATCCATTCGCCGGAGCTCCCCTCGGCCATTGCATATTCTCCCCAGCTCGCTCCCTCCTCATGCTGCCCTCCCCCAGGACCTCAGGCGCCCCCAAGCGCCCCAGGGGCGCACGCCCTCCCGGCAACCAGGCCCCGGCCCCGCTCCAGCCGCGAGAGTCCGGCACTCCCAGTCTCCGCGACCTAAACGGGGCCCTCCTGGGCCGGGGTGGGGAGAGCGCTCCTCCCACGTGCCCGCGGGGAGGGGCGTAGGCTGGAAGCGAGGCGCGCTGCCTCCCCCGCGCCTGCGATCGCGCCCCCCACCCCCACCCGGGTCCTGCTAATCTCACCTGCTCCACCTGTCGCCGTTATTTATCTCGGGGTGTGCGCAGGGATTGTATTAGGGCGGCCGGTGGGAGCGCGGACAGCCGCAGCCGCTAATAAACCGGGAGATTACAAATCCTCCTCCCCTCACCCCCCTGAACTGTTCAGTATCTTGGCTGTGATGGTGGTTCCACCACTCTTTGTATTTTTCAAAAGACCTGCACAACAAAATAGAGTTAATTTTTTACGTGTAAATTAAGACAAAATTTAAAATAGTAATAACAAACCACCCCTTCCTCAGGCCCATTTCCTACTAGATCCCTCTTCCCCCGACGCTCCAGGGCTTATTCCCCTAGGTGCACATGCTCGCGACTGCAGGGGCAGGCGTGGGAGGTGTCGGGAAATGCCTGGTGGCGCGCCATTAGCCGATACCTCCTCAGCTCCCTTTCTGTCCATCTCGGGAAGTCTGAGAACGTCTGAAGACTTACTCTCCAACTCACCTCCCATTTAAATTATAATCCCCATCCTCTCCCCCTTTTCTCTCTCCTTCCTTTCCTGTGAGTCCAAGGCTGAATAAGGGGGTCCAGACACAACTTAGTGCTGTGCAGCCAGCAGATGCCAGCTGAAGATTTGTCAAATGAGTTAATGAGTGATGCCTATTATAGGCCAAATGCCATAGACGTAGGATACCTTCAATCTCCTCCCCATCCTCCAACTGTTACCCCACAGAGATCAGAACTGGCATGCCTCTTCCCACCCACCTCCCCCACCAAAGGAAGTGGCACCAATTGAGGGTGTGATGATGAGTAGCTTCTTGTATTGTCATCTTCCCATTATTGAAAGGTTTTTAGAGATCCCACCTCCTCCTCACAGTGATTCCGGCTTTCCCTGGCTTTCCCTGGCTTTGCCTGTTCTGAGCTGCATGGGCACTCCTCCGTGTCATGGAAAACTGCCTTCCTATTTTCCAATTAGCTGTTCCATCCCCAAACAGTTGTTAATTGCTCCTCTTAGGCCTTGGGTGAGTTACTGGGGGACACGAACCCCTCTGGCTCAGTTGAGATTCTCTTGCATTTGCCCTCTCTGAACACACCCACTGGCCTGGAGGAGAAAGAAGATTCATGATGGAGGATGGAGAAGAAATGGGGAGGAGGGGAGAGCAGAGGACCAAATTTGAGCCAGGCTGGGATTGAACATTTGCCGTAGCTAATCCACTTGTGAATACTCTGCAGCTAATTGTATGCAGTGTAAATACCTTGGCAGCCTGTTTGTGTGTGCCTGTAAATTCAGTCATCTCCTCCCCCAAGTGTCCCCTGCCTGCTTGCCTCTGACAGAGCCCAGTGTCTGACAATGGGAAGCAACCAGGGGAAAGGGAAAGGGCACTAGACTTGAGAGCCACCAGTCCTGTGTTTCAGTCCTAACCTCTCTAGGGCTCAGTTTCCCCAGGTGTAAAGTAGGTAGGATCCCTGTCTCACAGAATGGTTAGGAGAGGTGAGCAGTAGTGGTAGTAACAGCTGACACCACATACCAGGCACTATCATATGTACTAACTAGTTAATCCTCCTAACAACTATGTGAGACAGGGCCGTTACTGTCAGAGAATAACAGATTTAGTGACTCACACAGCTGCTAAGTGGCCGAACTGAGCTTTGACCTAGGTAGCTTGGCTCAGTGACCTTGCTCTTTCCCACTGTTCCATACTGAAGAAATGTAAGGGCCTCAGTGCCTAGTAAATATTTTCACAAGAAGTGTTTTCTGTTTTGACCTAGGTAGCTTGGCTCAGTGACCTTGCTCTTTCCCACTGTTTCATACTGAAGAAATGTAAGGGCCTCAGTGCCTAGTAAATATTTTCACAAGAAGTGTTTTCTGTTCTCTTCACGCACGGAGGACAATTCTCCAAATCCCAAATTAGGGCACTAAGGGAAAGGGGTACATGACAGACCCCTGGACCTAAGGCATCCGTGAGGTGGGCCAGGTTGCCTGGGGACTCAATAGTCAGCGCCAGGCTGCCAAGTCTTGGGTTCCACCCAAGGTGCTCTAAGGTCACTTGTCACTGAAGAAAAAAACCCATTCTCTTACTCCAGAGAAAGCGTAGCTCTTGGGCCCCAGGAAGTCTCAGGAACTAGCTGCTAACTGAAGGGTTGTGTGACAAGCCAGGGAATCAGGAGCCCCAGGCTTTGGCCCAGAAGGGCAGCTGCAGGCATCTGTTGTGAGAACCTGTTACTAGAAAACTCTCCCATCTCCTCCTGCCACTCACTGGCCTCCTGCAAGTCAGAGCCTAGAAGAAAAGAGAGAGAGGGAGGCAGAGAGGAAGAGTCTTTCCTAGGATGGTGTTGCAGTCTCACAAGGGAAATTACCTCTCACGACCATACAGCGGCAGGCACTGATTCAATCTCATGCAGAGACGCCTTCTCATCAGGTGGGGGAAGGCTGGCTGGGAGGGGATGAGGAACCGGGAGTGTTACTTCCCCGCTGAAACACCAGTTTATTAATCTGGGCTCTAACAAATAGCCAATTAATGGCTCCAGCTGCTAATTAGTAAGCAGTTAACTCCTGTTATAAATTGTGCAGCTCTCAAAACTAGTGATAATGGAATCGTACGCTATGACACCCTTGGAGAGGAGGGGCCTATAGACTGTGTCACCCAGGGTCTGTAACCCCCACCACGCCCTCCTCACCTCATGCCCCAGGCAGGCCCTCTGCTGGTGGAATGCAGGCTGCATGAGAGCAGGGACCTTGTCTGTATGTTCACCATTCATTCAGTTAACAAATATTTAATGAGCACCTACTATGTGTCAGGCACTGCAGACTTGATGTGAACAAAAGAAACAAGAATCCCTGCCCTCATGGAGGTTAGTCTAGTGAAGAGACAGACAACAGACTACCCAAAGAAAATAAACAATATCTACACAGTAAAGAGTATGAAGGAGGATCCTAAAGCTAGGAAGAATAGAAAATGTGAGGGCTGAAATGGGAGAGAGGTGTTCAGAGGAGATCCCACTAACAATTGATGACTCAAAGAGGAAAGGAGCTGAGCCATGCCACTATCTAGGGGGAAAGCATTGCAGGGACAAGGAATGGCAAGTGCCAAGGCCCTGCAGTGGCGAGGAGACTTTGGCTGCAGCTGAGTAGGCAAGGGGAGAGTAGTGGGAGCTGAGATCAGAAGGGTTTAGGGGGCAGGTCTTTTGGGCCTAGGGTTACTGCAGGAGGTTGGGTTTTACTCCAAGTGAGATGGGAGCTATAACAGGGTCATGAGCACAGGAGGGAAGCAATCTGACTTGAATTCGGCAGGCTCACTCTGGCTGTGGTGTGAGGAGTAGATTGAAGGGGGTGCTGCACTATGCCTGGCACCTAGCACAGTGCCTGGCACTTAGTGGGTGCTCAGTAAACGCCTATCATATGAACTGACGAGTGAATATTGATGGGGCTAGATTGTGAGACTGGGAACCATGCCCACGCTTGAAAGGCCAGTTTATTTAGGGTCTCCTATAAATTATTTTACAACCATCACAATGGATGCTTTCACATTTGAACTTTCCAAGGAATTCCACATCCACTATCCTACTTTGTCCTTAAATATCCCTGTGAGGTAAGTTAAGACCTGTGGCCCCCTCTGTTTTG